AAAAAAAAAAACCAAGAAAAATACCCTCAACAAATTACCTCCTGGAATTTTTAAGTTAAAGTGAAAACAGATGTATTCAATCCTGGTATTTCTGTATTCACTGTGTACTGGAGCACAAAGATAACTAACCAATATTCTAACAGTTTAATAATTTACTGTGATAAATAAAGTTCAAACTAGTAATATATAACTTAAAAAGAAACTACTTTACAAAGCTGCTTTTAAGAGTGTTGGTGTAGTTATTCCATTTCCTTTGTTTTCATTTCACTTTTTTTTTGGTACCAGGAATCAAACTCCCAACCTCACGCTTGCTGGGCAGGCGCCGTCCCGCTGAGCTACATCCCTGGCCCTCATGGGCTTCCTCTAATAATTCCCATAGAACATTACATAAACTTGATGAGTTTCAATTTTTAAACAATACATTTTCCAATAAACTATTTGACAGTGAAAATTAAAATGTAACAAAGTGTAAAGGAGATAAAAATAATTACTGTTTTAGAATGTTTTCTCACTGCGGTTTTAAAATGTAAACATCTAACTAATTGTTGGCTGTTTTTCTTGCTTTTGTTTGGTGTGGCAAATAGGTGAGCACGTGTGATGTGAAGCTTCGATGGACTTCCAAGGCACAGGCCTATTTCTCCCACTAAAAGGAAAACAACTGTCCATGTACATGCAACAAACACACGCAGTTATGAAACATCAGTTTTCAAAACGTTGTCCGTACTGAGCAAATAATGCTGTAATGGCGCTCGGTTCTCCAAAATGAAGGTTGATTTTCTAGCTGCAGGATAATCGCCTGTCTCCCTTTCACCCATCGTTCACTCCTTTGTTGAGGTCTTGCTCTATTGAGACGGTAGTCACATCTGTACTCTGATTTTGAAATGACACCTCAGTGCCTGGTGGTGGTGGCTTGTACAAAAAAATTGCAAGTCCGTTGAAGAAAATAGTGGTAATTTTACAAGCAACACCTAAATATAAAAACCAAAAATTAATCATGCATCTGGGGCTTTAGTTACTGGAAAAAGTAATTCGTTTTAAGAAATTCTTCATGACTACAAACCTACTCCTTAAAGGCAAGAATCATATGAGAATTCTAGTTCTGTACTTTATAATCTTAAAACATTAAAGAAAACGAAATACAACATTTATATATAAGTTCATTAACTGGCAATTATTTTCTTTCTAAACAATTAGAATTACTTTTTTTTTTTTTTTGTATTTTTGAGACAGGGTCTCACTATGCAGTTCAGGCTGGTCTTGAGCTCACTTTGTAGCCCAGGCTGGTCTCGAACTCACAATGATCCTCCTGCCTCAGCCTCCTGAGTGCTGGGATTACAGGCATGCGCTACCACACCCAGCAACAATTAGAACTACTTGTACAGTAACACTTGTCCTATTCTTGGTCACGATCTGCATTCTTGTAGATTAAGTGTTGTACAGAATCCAATAAATCCATGTTTTATTCTAACTTTCATAATGCAATGTCTTATCTAAAAAAAATTACAAGCAAAAGTCAGTGGAAAAATAAAATAGCTTATACCACCATTGAGCCTGAATAATCAGTTGCAAAATTTTCATATCCAAAATGGAAAATAATTATAAAAATAAAAAATACTTTGTAATTCTAGCAGAAAACCTCTATGGAAATATATCACAGTTAATAATAATTTACTCTGACCTACAAGCCCAAAATACAAAATGTTGAAAGTTCCTTCACAAGCTTGGATTCATTTTCAAATAACTCCTTTGTCAACTAACTCATACAGTAGTTGGCTTTGAGCTCAACTGTGTGAAATAAAACCAGTTTTAGCCTCAGCACCCAGCTGAGTGTTAGCTGAATTCGTGTCAGCTGAGTAAGTTAAACATGGTGTCACAGGGTAATTTATCCAGTTACTCATTTCTTTTTTGTCAATCATCAATATTGTATTTAAAAATGTATATTCAAAAATCAAGAATGTTCATTGATCTAAGCGTTAGTAGATTTGTAGGAAGAGTCTATAGATACAATTGTTATAATTTCTGTTGGTTTGTTTTTGAAAATTTAGTTATGTGTCTTTGGTAGTAATTTCCACTTTCATTACTGAGTAAGAGAAAGGACAAATCATTATCTGTATCACTCAGCCAAAAAGTAGGAAGGAAACGAAATAAACCTTACATATGAATGGGCTGATAAAATGTGATTTGGGGAACTCAGGCTTGTAGCTAAGTGACAGAGCACTTGCTTAGCATGCATAAGACCCTGAGTCTGTTCTCCAGCAAAACAAGGAAAAAATACGAGAAAACTGTCTCTTAACAATAGGCAAAAGTGATGGGAAGATTAACTTTGTCTATTTTACTCAATATTAATGCTCAGGTTATTGGAAACTTGATGACAATCATTCCAGAGAGTTTCTCAGAAATCTCCTGAAGCTTCTGAGTACACTTCCTCCCAAAAACTGAGAGAAATGGTTAAACGCAAGGCATACGATAAGCGATGTAATGAGAGCTAGTATTTTACTGTCTTCTTTTTAAGCCTGGGACTTGCAGACTTCATTCAAAGCCTCTACAATGTGCTGTGACAGCTGATCTGCACCAGCGGAGAATGAGCCTCCCAAGCACAACTGTGATCTAAGTAACCAACAGCAAGGTTTTCTGACCCAACACTCGTTTACTCCAGCGTTACCAAGAAGTCACTTACTTATGGCTACAAGCATATGGGCCATCTTGATGTTATCATAAACCCAGCAAGCTCCTTTAACCCCACATTCATTAATATCCCACAGAGTACATGTGCTATCGATTGTGGCACCAAATATAATCGGTCCAGGTATGGTACCTAGAAGAAATACAGACAAGATACAAATAGGTACAGATTATAATTTACAGTCACAGGTTTTTAACATATTTTTGTTGATAAAAAATAGGCATGTGTGTCAACATGCATAGTAATTGATTCATGTATAAGAGAAAGGGATATAAAGAAGAATAGAAAAAATATTTTGATGGTTATGTATAATTTTAAATTTCTAATCAATTTAAACAAGATTTTAATAAAAATTTCTAGCACAAACTGGGTTAATGTTAAGTATAATCAATATTTTAATTTGTTGCTTTTTTATTTTAAAGAAAAAAACAAAAACAAAACAACAGCAAAATATAAAACAATACAGAATTTCAAAACAAGATAGGAAATCAACAATGGCTGTTGTATTACTTATCGCTATCTTCAAAGCAGTTGCTCAGATTACCAGATATAGGTATGCAAGACGATCAAACAAACATTAACTGTTCCTTTCAGTAAACCAACACAAATTAGTAGTAATGTGATAAATGAATGTGCCCTTGAAATTAACTATTATAAGCTGGGCATGGTAGTGCACACCGGTAATCCCAGCACTTGGGAGGCTGAGGCAGGAGGATCGTTGTGAGTTCAAGACCAGCCTGGGCCACAAAGTGAGCTCAAGACCAGCCTGAACTGCATAGTGAGACCCTGTCTCAAAAAGAAAAAAAAAATTAACTATTATAGCTTCAGAAAATCAAAATAAGTTATTCCTGACACACAAGTAAGTCTGCTGAACTATGTAAGTGTATGCACATAGACATAAACTAATGTGGATTCATGTACATACAAGACAATATGAATGTGTGTGCATGAGAGGGTGTGTATGTGTAGATACAAATGTAACTCCTTGCTAACACACCCGGCAGTACTATTTTAAATTTTAAAACATTTAATTTTTGTTGTTCTTTTTCACTTCGTTAGTACATGTGTGCAGTACACAATGATTATATTTGTCCCGGGGAGTGGGTGCATGTACACCACACATGCTGATTCCTTTTTATGCCCTTCTCCCCTCCCACACCCTCCCTCCATCTCTTGGACCCCTCCCCTTTTATTAAAGATCTATCTCCCTGCTTCCTACTATCCATCTTTTATTTTGCTCTTTAATTTCTTTATATTTTGGGTTTCTCCTATAAGATATCATTTGAGATTTAAGCTCCTGTGTCTGAGTTATTTCAGGTTGTGAAGTACTAAGTTACCATGGAGGGTGGATCCACCCTCTCTGCGCATTCCACATTGGCAGATTTAGCCAACTGCGGGTTGCAAATATTCCCCAAATATTGTGCCGTTACTGAAAGTGTTTATTATTCTCTTCCTGTCCCTATGCCCTATACAATACAGTAACAATTTACATAGAATTTGCATTGTTTTTTGTATTGTAAGTCATTTAGAGATACACTAAAGTAGGTAAGTTTCAAGTGTATAAGATAGAAGAGCCAGCATAAGTTATATTAGAACACTGCCTCCTTTTACTACGAGGCTTGAGGAACTAAGGATTTTGGTACTGGCAGGGATCCTGGAATCAATCCTCAAGGAAACAGAGGGATGACTGCAGTTACGGAACTTGTGCTTATTGTACATCGACTGCAGCACAGGATTTGAGGGAATACTGCTTAGCCAGTGATTTAGGCTCCTGACCTACCAGTAGCACAACAACAACAGAAGTGCACCTAACCAAAATCACTATCTTAGTCCTTTTTCTGCTGTTAATGTGCAAATATGGGCAAAATGCTGAATCCCACAGTTCCTTAATTTTCTCATCTGAAAAATGAGCAAGTTAGGCAAGTGATCCCTAATATTTTAACTTTTTGTTTTTGCTTTCATAAATGGTCTTCATGTTATTTTTTATGTTTCTCTGTTCCTACCTTTCCTACATCTGGAACCTTGTACAGCTCTCTCCTCTAAATCCTTCCTTTCATCAAATCTTATGTAGTCACATTATTTACATCACAGTTACTTTTGAATTGTTTTAGCTCATTATGTTTTCATGTCTAATACAACATAATAGTGTCACAAATGGAGATAAAAGCAGAAAGAAAATATGTGCTCAAGGCCATATTTTATCTTTCAAATGAATCAGGTATAGTTTTTCAGGTTACATTTACAACAGGTTTGGAAACAATAGGTAACAAATCAGGTGGATGAAAAGTAAAGGCATTTTATTCACATTCAAGAAGTAATATTACATCTTGAACTCTGGCAAAGAGCTTTGTCAATGACAATTATGCAGTCTTCCTCTTTATTCATTTTCTTGACACATGCTACATCTGAGTAAATTAATAACATCAGTGAAATAAAATAGCAACACTTAACACTGAATTAAGTAAAATGCCATACCCACCCAGTAATCGAAGCACCATGAACTGGGTCCCCAATGCTAGAGACCGCTGCCTCTGATCAACACACCTGGAAATATTATAATATAAGTGAGACAAAAAAGTTCTACATTCATTCTCTGAGCAAGTACAAATCTTTATCAGTTTAGCATTTCTGTACCAAACTAAATTTTGTGCATATAAAATACAGTAAATTGCTTATATGAACTTAAAATTAGTTAAATCATTCTGGGTTTATAAGAGAAGAGAAATGTTATCTGAACTAAAATAGTGCAAATAATGAAGAGTCACTAACTCCTCTGAGTTTTAACAAAGGTAAAGGAGAAAGGCCATACACTGATAAGAACTGACAAGAAGGTTCTTTTCATAAAACCTGTCAATAAATTAGATCTAGAGCTCGCGTATACCAGCATCCTGCTAGTGCAAGTTATTGTGCTGCTTTAGGATTCTATACTCACAACTTTGATTCAAAAGAGCACCCAAATTCCTGACCTAAGTAATTTGGTAAGAAAAAAAAAGCCATCTAAATTGGAAAGGAGGAAATAAAAAAGCCTTAGTTTCCCAATGACAAGAATTTTCATGTAGAAAGCCCTAAAAACTCCACCAGAAAACTATTTAGTACATGGTCAGGATACAAATGAACAAAAAATTAAGTTGCATTTCTATATACTAAGAGTGAAATTTCAAAAAAAGCAACTAAGAAAACAATCCCATTTGTGATAGCATCAAAAGATAAAATAAAATACTTCAGAATAAACCTAACTTACAAAGTGAAATTCTTGAAATTTAAAGAAATTGAGCATTAATGAAAAAATTGAAAATAAATGGAAAGACATCTTACTTTTCTTGCACTGGAAGAACTAATTGTTAAAATTCCATACTACCCAAAGCAATCTACAGATTCAGTGCCTTCCAGATCAAAATGCCAATGGTACCTTTCACAGAAATGGAAAACACAATCCTAAAACTCATATACAGCTACAAAAGACCTAAAGTGGCTAAATGAATCTTGAGCAAGGAGAACAAAGAGATAGGCATCACACTACCATATTTTTAAACATAGTAAAAAGCTATGGATATCGAAAGAGTATGGGTCTGGCATAAAAACATACTTATAACCAACAGAGCAGAGAGCCATACAATAAATCTATATACTTATACTCAATTGATTTTTGACAAAGGTATCAAGAACACATAGTAGAGAAAGAAGACTTTCCTCACTAAACCAATAAATGAAGTTGTAAAAACTGGATATTTACAAACAAAACAATAAATTTGGACCCTTGTTTCATACTATATACCAAATTCAATTAAAAATGGACTAAAGACTTAATACATAAAGAGTTGAATCTATAAAATGTCTACAAAAAGCATAGAAGTAATTTTTTTTTACTTTAGACTGGACAATGACTTTTTATGTCAAATAAAAAAACCTAACTAATCATCAGGGAAGTATATATCAAAACCCTGAGATATCACCTCAGACCTGTTACCTGGCAATTACAAAAAAGATAAAAGACCACACATGTTGGCAAGAATATAGGAAAAAGTGAACTACTGAATACAGTTTGAAAGAATGTAAATTGGTATGGTCATTATGAAAGGGAGCATACAGTCTTCAAAAATTAAGAATAGAATTAGCATGTTATGCAACACCTCAGGTAGGGGCATATATCTAAGGGAATGAAATCAGTATGTGGGAGCTACCTAGGCACATTCATGTCCATGTTATTCACAATAGCTAAGATATGGAATCAGCTTAAGTGTCCATTCATAAATGAGTAAAGAAAATATAGTACATAATACTAGTCAGTTTCAAAAAGGAAAAGAAATCTTGGCATTTTTTGACAACATGGATAAACATGGTGTACGTGCCAACTGAAATAAACCAGACAAGGGCATAATACTACTACATGATCTCACTCATATGTGGATACTCAAGCGGTCAATTTCATAGAAATTAAATGTAGAATAGAGATTGCCAGGAGCTGAATTGGGCTGATGTCAAAGGGTAAGAATTTCAATTAAGCAGGATAAGCGCTGGAGAAGGAATACAAAGCTTGGTGACTGTAGTTAGTAATACTGTATTACATACCTGAAATGTGCTAAGAGAGGAGATTTTAAATGTTCTCATCTCTCTCGCTCTCGCTCTCTCTCTCTCTCTCTCACACACACACACACACAAGTGGTAACTATGTGAAGTGATGGATATGTACAGTAGCTTGATTGTGGTAATCACGTCACATTGTGTATTTATTTCAAAATATTCCTTAAATATATACAAACTTTATTTGCCATTTATACTTCTCTAAGTCTGAAAAAAAATTGTTAGACTTGCGTTTATTCAAAAAAATAGTTCCTTTTAAACTATTATGATTAACCTAAGTTGTAAGCACATAATTCTTAGTCTAACTCTTGACACTGAAATCCTACTCATGAGATAAAGGTACAAATTTGAGACTGCATAAAACAGCTCCTGAAGCTCAATCTGACCCAAAAATAATTCCTTAAGTAGTGAGCACTGAAGATTAATGAGACAGAATGTTAGCCCACAAGAGTTCTGAGAAACAGCTAGTTGAAGGGTGATTTATATAATTTTTAAACGTGAAAATTTAAGATGGGCATGGTGGCGCACACCTGTAATCCCAGCACTAGAGAGGCTGAGGCAGGAGGATCGTTGCGAGTTCGAGGCCAGCCTGGGCTACAAAGTGAGCTCAAAGCAAGCCTGAACTGCATAGTGAGACTCTGTCTCAAAAAGACAAAAAAAAAAAAAATGAAAATTTAAAAAGCATTTTCTCTAAATATCTTCAATTTCCATTGTAATATGATTCATGTTAATGATTTAATGTTAAAACTGCATTTTCAAATACATGAAAAGGAAATGAGAACAAAATACAGCAAAGGGGAAAAGCCCTTAGACCATGGAGTCTATGTTAGGGCACACAGGAAAGATTTTTAAAGTAGTATACAAGAAAAGCAAGTGAAAATACAAAACACTGGCCAACAGTTTAGGTGACTGCAGGCTTCTTATTGATTAGCCCCATGTCTAGGATGATTTATTGTCAAAGCATTTAATGCTGGAATGCATGTCGTTCTGATTCCGGGGTATGTGGAGTGCATTTAATTTTCATGAAACACAGCTACAGTGTACCTATCTCCAGCTCACCACTGAAGCTGGACGAAACAATCAGAAAAACTAGCTCCAAGCACCCACCAGACAGGCACCGCAATGGCACTTTCATACACACTATCCCATTAAAACTTCAGACATCTGGGGTTCTGTGAGGTAGCTTTCCTAATGATAGAGAAATCACGTTATTTTAAGGGCTGACTTTACTCAGCATTGGTCAGTATAAGCCCCAGCTGAGCCCTTGGGTTAATTTCGTTTGCACTCAACATGTTGTCTCAGGGAATGAAAATTTCATAACACAATCCATACCTCAATATGGACACAGTTATAGGAGTGCCAGCCATGAAGGTAAAAATCACAGTAATAAAAAAAATGCCAAGGAAAAAGGGCAAATTTGCGCAGTGAGTTTCACATTTTCCAGCTCTAGCTTCGAAACCCACGCTCTCTGTAGATGTTATCTGGGCCTTCTTTTCAATACACGAACAGTTGTAATAGATCTGAAAATATGAGACATAAACATACTGAAAGTGTTCATTGTGAAAATGTACTTCTGCCATACATCAGATGATCTCCATACATCTCTCAAACTGTTCTGATCCATATATAATAAGAAATTCTGAGAAACACTAATTAATCTTAAAAAATTAAGGACGTAGATACTATGCTTAAGCAGTTTAATCATCTGTATTTTTTATCAACTTGTAACCTATTACTGGTTGATGACTTACAACACAAGCTGATGTTGAATATTACAGTTATACAATCTCACATATTCTCAACTACTTTCCATCAACCATAATTACTCAAATAATGTTTTCCTGCTAACTTTCTTCTTTTTCATTATAGGAAGAAAAAGGCATCTACCTTTACAATTTCACTCTCTGCATTATTTGAAAGATCAAACACTATAATTTTGACAAGTGCATAATACAATTAGTATGTCCTATAACTATGAAAAAATTACTGTTTTTAGTAATGAGGCTTTAACTCTACTGTGTGATTTCTCTGAATTACTTAACTGAAAGCAAACTATCCTTAAGATGATACTTAGCAGTTACTACAGACTCCGTGCCCACGGCCCATTACCGGGCATGTCATGCCGTGAGCAGCTCTCCTCTGCCATGCCGCTCTGCCTTGGAGCAGACCAACCATGCAAGGACTGAAACTTCTATAATGTAAGCCAAAATAAACCTCTCACCTTTAAAAACATGGATGGGCAGCAGTTCAAAGCTACAACACCTGCCAAATTCCTAGTGTAACTGGCAGACTCTAAAAAGAAGGGGTTGCCAGGCATGGTGGTGCACCCCTGTAAACTGGAGGTTGAGGCAGGAGGATTGCTACTGGGCTACAAAATGAGCTCAAGGCCAGCCTGAACTGCACAGTGAGATCTTGTCTCAAAAAGAAAACTAACTAAATAAATAAATATTAAAAATTTAAAAACTAAAAAGACGGGGTTAAGTCAGAGTTAGCACACTGTGTGCAATATGTTGACTGATAAAGAATGATAAAGTAAAATCTTAATGAATTAGAGAAAAAAGCAAAAGATTAGAACTGCACATACCATGCTAGTCTATTAAGTCTACTATGTTCACCCCCATTTCTGATAAATTTCTCAATGTTCTTGAAGTAATTTGGCCAGATAATATGAAAAGGAGGTCCATTGATTATCACGTTTGGTTTACCCCCAGCAGGAAGAGCAAAGCCTAGTCTAGTGAGATAAATTTTTAAAGAATTTATTATACATAAGCTCATTAAAGGTAAGTAGATATGTGTATTTACAAGTGCTGTATGAACTTAAAAGTGTAAAATTTCACACACGTGCACCCATGTTGGTTTTGAACGAAATCTATAATACTTTTATAGATTATTTCAACTAATTATTTCTTATTTATGCAGAAATCTTTTCTTACAGCTGTCAAGTTACCCTCAAAAGGGAAAAGAAATGCCATTTCTTTATCCCACATTTCATATATTCAAGACTGTCATATGATTCTTAGATAGCTTTCTTCATTACAGTCTCTTATACCACAGTATGTTTATACCAAGTACTTTTAAAGATATCTATCGCATTATCTACTAATGCACATTATTTTATCTGCTGCTCGTAACCCGAATTACATAAAGGAAGAGGGGCACAGAAAAAGAACAGGCACTGTACAACCCCACTAGAGGGATCCGGACGATTGTAAACACACAGAGACATGTCCTCATGCAGGCTAAAGGAGCAGGCCCAGTTACCTTTGGTTTACTCTTTGAAACATAGTTTAAACAACCTGCAAAGCAGGGAGAAAAATATTGGACTCCATCTCCTCCACACAGTGGATAGTAATAAGATCGCAAACAGTTACAGTTGGTGTTACAAGGGGCTGTCAAGTTTCCCAGCGCTCCTGTCCTGTAAATAAGAAAAGGCAGAAGGTGAGGTTATCTGCGTCATCACATGAGCAAACAGTTCAGAAGCATCTGTTCCGTCTTGCCATTCAGTCATTCATTCACTCACTCAACACATAATTAAATTACACACAGCGCACAAATCAAGTCACAGATCTGCCTTTGTGCATAAGCTTAATTTCTTACGGGAGGGACAGGCGGTCAAAACAACAGTGATGTCTGCTGGTGATATAAAATGTAAAGCAAAGGGAGTGAGGAAAATGAGGTTTTGCCTTTGGTGCCAGACAGTTCCTGTGGGGCACAGGGTCTGCAGACAGTGAGCTATCTAGCAGCACTCGAGCCTCCAGCCGCCAGAGGTCAGTAGCTCTCACATTCATTATCCCCAGAAGCCTAGAAAAATATGAAGTCTCCAAGGGTGAATTCCAGCTAGTGAATTTACCACTGAAGAAACTAAGGTCTAGACAGATTAAGTTACTTTTATTTCCTTATCCAGTGTAATCTTCCCAGCGTTGCTTCATTCTGCCTTTGAACAGAAGCAACATCCTTCAGGGTACCAAGGACTGCTCTAATTAAAGATGCTCCTCCCACGCCTCCTATATGCATTCTTCCACCCACACATACTGAACAAGCGCTAGGCTCTCTGCTGGTAACGGAAAGAGAAAACTGAACAAGATAGTCTACATCCTCAAAACTTCCATAGTCCAAGTGTAGAGCTGTACATTGATAATTAGACACTAAATGCTCACTGTGTTACTGATAGCTACAAGGTAAATTTTAGAAATACCAAGGAAGAACAGGCAACACAAGCCAGGTCTGGAGAAGAGAGACGGAGACACTACTACCTGAGACGACCTTAGAGTCCGCACCAGCCCGCCCTCGGGGGAGGAGAAGATAATGAACAATGCCGGAGACACAATGAGCATTGCTGCAGGGAAATCAGGGCCCAGGTCAAGGAGGGCCTCCTGGGCCTTGTTAAAAACAATGATCTCTGACCCTCTGGCAAAAGGTAATCACTAAAGCATTTTCAGACTGGAAAGAGGTATTTGTAAATGTTCATTTTAAAGAAATAATCCTAGAGACGGTGTAGAACATGAACATGAAGGAGGGAGACACATTATGATGCCCCAGACAACAGGTGAGGACAAGTTAAAGGAACGCTAACACCCAAGACAGGCTTGCAGGAAGCACTGGAGGAAAAATCCCAGATATATAATCAGTGCCCCCTCTTTAAAGGACTGAAAAGTTAACGGTGACTCCCAGGGTGGGGGAACGGATGGAGCATCGGGTGGGGAGGAGGTGATGAATACATGCACGTGCATACTGAGATGAAGAGTTTCAAATCCGGTGAAGAAATCTGGCCTGACGCTAAATGCTTTACACAGTAGTGGCTTTCACCCTAAGCTTCATGCTCAGCTCTTTTTATTTTGAGACAGTGTCTCACTAAGTCACTAAGTTGCCTAGGCTGGGCTCCAGACTGCTGTCCTCCTGCCTCTGCCTCCCACAGTGCTGAGATTACAGGTGTTTGCCGCCATGTTGGGCTAGAAATCTCTGTGTGTGTTTGCATACAGATGCAGCGGAAGCCACCAGAACTGGTAAGACTGGCCTAATACAGTACAGTGAGAACAGCACAAGGGTCGCGGGGGTTACCCGCTGAGTACATAGCGAACTCCAGCTGTGTGCTAGCGAACTGCAAAAATACATCTATTATTATTGGTTTTTTTATGTATGTGGTGCTGGGGATTGAACCCAGGGCCTTGTGCACGCAAGGCAAGAGCTCTACCACTAAGCCACATCCCCAGCCCTCAAAAATACATCTAAAAGAAAGCAGGAGTCAGAGCCAGGGTTGAGAGAGAAGCTAGGTATGGCGGTGCATGCCTGTAATCCCAGCTATTCAGGAGGCTGAGGTAGGTTTACAGTCCCAGCTATTCCGGAGGCTGAGGCAGGTGTATAACCCCAGCTATTCAGGAGGCTGATCGCAATTTTCAGGCCAAACTGGAAAACTTACAAAATAAAAATGAAATCAATCACAGAGCTCTTGGCTAGCCATGCCAGAGGACCTGGGTTCAATCCCTACTCCAAAAAAGCAGAGAGAGAGAGAGAGAGAGAGAGAGAGAGAGAGAGAGAGAGAGAGAGAGAGAGAGGAGGAAGAAAGAGGAAGAGGATGAAGGGGAAGGAAGGATGAAGGGAGAGATGGAAGGAAGACAGGGTGAGGGAGGGAAGAAAACAAACCAAAAATAAATCTTTGGAATTCTGATGGAAAAGGGAATGAAAACGGTAGACTGTTAGTAACCCGCCCCTCTGCTGCAGTCTCGTCTTAGTCTAACCTGTTGCCAGGCTGCTGAAGATTCATCTTTATTAAGCATGGTTTTATTCACAAACCAAACTTTGCAGTCTCTACCCATAAAGGGCTTAGATCAGCACAGATCCAGAAAGATTAGGAAAAATGACCCCTGCAACTCCACAGACAGAGTTTACACAATTTTTAAACTTAAGAAGTCCACTAAATAATCAGCATAGCACCGGCAGATAATTCCTAGGAACACACAAAATGTAAGACAGCGTAACACAAACTACAGCACAAATAAAGACACAATGTGTGCTTCTGTCATCAAGGGTTGGGTATGTTAACCTGAGGATTTTATAAAGATTTCCGCATAGGTAAGGGGAAAATTGTTAGTATGAAAATAGTAAGTAAATGTAAAGTACATTACATTTTCAATATATATTATTAAGAGTATTTAGTGTTTATGTTACTTTAAGATTATCCAAAATAGTTTACATTCAGCACTTGTAACTTCTAACATTTACAAAAATGTATATATTCTTTTCATTTTTTTTTCTTTTTGGTTTTTTTGGTTTTTTTCTGGTACCAAGAATCGAACTCATGACCTTGCGCTTGCCAGGCAGGCGCTGTGCCACTGAGCTAAATCCCCAGCCCCACAAAAATGTATATAGATATAGATGCGTATCAAAAGTAGAACTAAAACACTAATTTCTTACTAAAATCCAAACTAGTGGGGCGTAGTGGAGCATGCCTATACTCTCAGCACCTGGAAAGCTGAGGCAGGAGGATCAGCACAAGTTCAAGGCTAGCCTGGGCTCCATAGTGAGTTCAAGGCCGGGCTGCAATGCATAGTAAGACACCATCTCAAAAACAAATAAATAAAATTCAAACTATTGTTCTATAATTATGCCTCTGCAGTAGGCAAAGATTTCCCTAAAATTATTGCAAAATCTTACTAGATACGGACTTTTAAGGAGCCATTTCAAATAAACAATGAAATTCTACCTGTAGATGTATACAGGAAAACTGTGTGAACTTACTGTTATTTCATATTTTATGAGGTCTTAAGTATAAACACCAATCATCATTAACAAAATATGATGCCAAAATACTACAGAGAAGATTATCAAGGCAATGAAAGAATAATGGGGGATTTTAATAAATAATAGGTTTCTGCAAGTGTGCTTAGACAATCCCAAATGAATTTAGTGTGGCATCCAAAAACTGAATAATAAATTAATTTGAAATATACTATTCAAGCCAAGTGTGGTGGTGCACACTTGTAACCTGATCATTCAAGAGGCTGAGGCAGGAGGATCGCTGTGAGTTCGAGGCCAGCCTGGGCTACAAAGTGAGCATAAGGGTAGCCTGAATTGCACAGTGAGACCCTGTCTCAAAAAGACAAAAAAATAAATAAATAAAATATTATACTACTTTGTGATGTGATCCCTGTCACTATACTTATATCTGTCAATATGCACACATATATAAACATACATACATATAGATATACAATATGGATACACATATAAACATATAGATATAAACGTACATATAGATACACACTCAGGTAAATGTGGGTGTGGGTCTGTACACTCACATACAACTTTTCCACCACTAAGAAATGTATATGCACCATCTCTATGCTCTAGGTCGGTGCATCTTGATGACCCAGGCCTCCAACACCCCACACAGACACCGCCACACTTCCCTGCCTTTCTGCAATGCCAAGAACCCCTCACTCTTGCGTCAACTAGAAAAGACTAACGGGGCTGACACCTACTTTGTTACTCAGGGTGATGAACTATGTGCTGAACTATTCACAACTGTCTGTCTTTCTAAAGGGAGCATACAGAGACAGTGGTTTGTCAGGATAAATTTGAGTGACTTTTCAGGAGTGAAAAGTCAGGTCTGCACAACTTTAGCTACTTGTGAACACTTCCAGATAGTTTTTCTACTATTTCCAGACACATCACGCAAATCCCATTCAAGCTAACCCCTGAACCTAGATTCCACTTCTTAGAGAATTTATACCCAACCTTCCCTCAACTCGAATCTGAAAATTCTTTGTAGCCCTAAAGGATATTTAAACCAGATCCACTAGTGGGCCATGAAACCTTTCCTGAATGTAAGCAACTAAAACTGAAAAGCTTTGCTTCTTTTGCCCTTCACATTCCTCTCTGTATCCCCAGCTACCGAAGTCATTGCTCAGTTACTGTCTTGTTTTCCAAGCTGTCCTTTAGAACACTTGGCTACACACAGAGGTCTGCAGGAGGAGGCATTCAACAAATGCCGAGAAGGTGTCACGGAGCCAAACAAACACTGCTTCCGAGTGCTCGGCCTCACGTTAACATGAATGGCAACTACAACCCATGATGACTGTTACTGGTAAACATCTCCAAGCAAACAGCATCCCATTTATGTCATCTGAGGAATGGATTACACAAAATTATGGACCTGGAGTACCACCTCCCTCAATGGCTTCTCGCACATGTAATGAAATAATTAAAGCAACACCGTAAGCGCTAAAACACATTTCTGTGCAACACTCTCCTGCATGAACCCTTACTCATGGCTTAGGATTGCAAAGCCAAACAGAGCAGGCAGACAAGGAAAGATAAATGGTCAAACTAGTTTAGGCAGAAACACTCTACAGGACAAGCTAAGTATTACGGAGTTTTGTTTTGTTTTGTCTTTCAAGACAGGGTCTCACTGTGCAGTTCAGGCTGGCCTTGAGCTCACTTTGCAGCCCAAGCCGGTCTCAAACTCACAATGATCCTCCTGCTTTAGCCTCTTGAGTGCTGGGATTACAGGCATGCACCATCACACCCAGTTTTGAAGTTTTTACTTCTGTACAAAAACCCTGAATTTTACAGTAAATATACAATAACACCGAAGATTGTCTTTATTTTAATCTCTCATCTAGTCCACTCAAACTATTTATTAAGATGATTTTTCATAGGGAATAATTTTCATTTCTTAAATTTTTTTAATTAAAGAGAACTATACTGTGAAATTCTCCCTACAATGTTGGCTTAGTCTGGTTTTCTTTTTTCTGCTGTATGAAAATACCCAAGACTGGATCATTTATAAAGCTTGTTTACGTTTACATGGCGGAGGGTATTGTATGGTGAGGCACACAAGCAAGCTGGCCTGGTTCTCTCTTCCTCATCTTAGTAAAGTCACTCATACCATCGTGGGGGCACCACCCTCATGACTTCTTCTAATCTTCATTATCGCCAAAGCTTCACCTCCACATACGATTAGCATCTGAATTTCCAATACACAAATACTAGGGAACAAATTCAAATCATAGCAGATGCAAATTTCTCAAAAGCAAAGTTTTTTTGCGTATCAATCTCTGTATCCCAACCAAGCACACTGCTCAGCATGTGGTAGTTGTTTCTTAGACAAATCTCTGAATAAAGAGCAACAACTTCTAAGATATCTTATTTAATCTAAACACACACACACACATTCTTACATTTTATTTTTTGCATTCTGAAAAAGTTTAATATTTTTATAAAGTCCATTCTTCATCATCTGATGTTAAAATAGATCCCTAGTTTCTTCTCCTGAGATTAACATGAAAAAGCATTGGAATATATTTACCCATTGTATGACTCAGAGACACCTGCAAAGGGCTCATTTTCACATTTGGCACAAATAAGTAAAAACGTCAGCAGGAGCGCAACTCCAGAAGTGACCAAAGCGAACTTCATGGCATGTTTACACGTCATTTTGAATTTTGAAACAATGACACCACCTAGAATCTGACCAAGAGCAGCTCCAGGAATTAAAACAGCTCCTAATGAGAAAAAGTAAAAAAGTACATATGGACACTCAGTAACTCATAATGAGAAAGCATCAAAATAAACACCAGTGTGGCTGTAACACATAAAAGTACTTGCCTAATGCATAAATGACTTAATAGTAAACACTGAACATTAAGATTTCTCTTTAGTGTGTAGGATTTGTCTTCCTGAGTTCATACAATAAACTGATTTCAGCGAGGCCTGTAATCCCAGCAGTTGGGAGGCTGAGGGAGGAGAATTGTCACGAGTTCCAGACCAGCCTGAGCTACAAAGTGAGCTAACGGACAGCCTGAACTGCATAGCAAGACCCTGCCTCAAACAGATAAATAAATAAATAAATAAATAAATAAATAAATAAACTGATTTCAGAAAATCAGAAAATGAAAATCATAATAGGGTGTAAAGTTCAGGGTGTGGGATATCCAAATTTTATGCATATATACACACACATATTTAATGTTTAATGTGCTGAATTAAATTATTAGAGTAAATGAGAACGAAGAAGATGCTTTACCTCCAATGGTAGCTGCAAAGCTGGATGTCAGTCCAAATTGATTCTCTATAAATTTAGGTAAAAATGTAGCAAATCCAGTAGTAATTAAGGCTTCTGAAGAAGTTGACAGAACTAAACATACAAAGACAGTATTCCTCATCAAATTCTAAAGAAAAAATACAGTTCACCAAATAAATAACTACGATCATAGTATCAAGTGCAGCATTCAAATGACAGCACAATGAAATAGCAAAAAATTTTAATACTCACCATGTAAGTATCTTTAAAAATTATACCATTTTATATCACCAAAATTTAGCCATGGATAATTACTAGGCAGAGCACTAAGAGGATTGATGAATGATTTTGCCTTTATTGGACTCACAGGGCCAGGAGGAGAAGATAGAAACCTATTTACAAAGGTTGCCTTCCCCATCTTACTCTGAATGTGCGTACTACACATCTACCACTTATTTGATTTTTAAAATTGTGTTCTGAATTCCTTCAGCCACTAGTGCTCACTTCGGAAGCACATACACTGAATTCCTTCACCCAATCGCAGAAGGGCCTGAGACAGGGAGCACAGACAGAAATGCTCCCAGAGGACCAAGCTCATGGTACTGTTCGAAAGTGTACAGTGATTAAGAACACTGCCAGGCATGGTGGGGCACGCCTGTAATCCCAGCACTCGGGAGGCTGAGGCAGGAGGACCACTGTGAGTTGGAGACCAGCCTGGGCTACAAAGTGAGCTCAAGCTCAGCCTGAACTGCATAGCAAGACCCTGTCTCAAAAAAAAAGAGCCAAAAAAAAAAAAAAAGGAAACAGAAATATCATGCAAAGATACTTCAGTGATATCCTAGCTGAAGAATAAAAGGCTGCACCCATAGAGACCTGAATCAGAATATGAAGCCTTGAGGAAGCCATAGAGATTGAAAAAGAGCAATGGTGGGCTGGGGATTTAGCTCAGCGGCAAAGCATCTGCCTGGCAAGCGCAAGGTCGTGAGTTCGGTTCCCGGTACCGGAGAAAAACCAAAAAAAAAAAAAGAGCAATGGTGAGTAATGACTGTTGATGATGATGTAAATTAGAATTTACAAAATACACAGTGCAGATGTCTTACATGAGAAAATAACAGTAGTTGGAATTAAACTTTAAACAATTGCACAAGAACATGCATATCTATGGAAGGAGAGGAAGGCTGAAAAGCAATGAAGAACCACAAAACACTGATACAGCCAGTAAAATAACTCATGCAGTTTCAATTATCTTACTCTGGAATAGTTTTACCTACAGCACAATGAAGTAGTCTGGCTGCATGTGATAGTACACGCCTATAATTTCAGCACTCCCTGGATGAAGGCAGAAAGGCACCAAGTTTGAGGTGCCTGGGCTACACAGTGAGACCCTATCTCCAAACAACAAAAAACTGCCAGGCATGGCGGAGGGGAGGCTGTAACCCCAGCACTGGGGAGGCTGAGGCAGGAGGATCACTGAGAGTTCAAGGTTAGCCTGCTCTACACAGTGAGTTCAAGGTCAGCCTGGGCTACACAGTGAAACCCTATCTCAAAAAACAAACAAAAAAGTGAATGCAAGAGTTGTTTACGAGTAAGAATACATTACAAAAATTTGCATGGGAGTGTATGTATGTATATTGTTTGCATGAATGTATGACTGTACACAATAAAGACAGACATACATACCTCTGTACATGTGTGTATGTATACATATAATGCGAGACAAAAAGAGACAGAAAGAAAAAGAGAAACCATTTGATTTTACCTTTAGAGCCACTGGAAAATCTTTAATACTCTGCCCAAAATCCTCATCTATCTGTGGTAAGGAGCTGCTTTTACTCTGATGTGTCTGGGAAGTTTTCGCAGCTTGAATTTTTGCTGTACCTATAAAGACAGTAAACTTACGCGCTCTATCATTTCACTCACTTTATTTCGTCCTTCCATTCTATTCTATTTTTTTATCCCTATTCCCTCCCTTCCTTTCCCCTCCCCCATCCCCTGCTCCTCTTCCCGTTTGAACTTTTCCTTCCTACTTGCCATATGATAGATATTATCATCCATTTTTGTCCTTATTTACTCTTTGAGTTTCTCCCACAAAAGAAAAAAATGCAATATTTAACCAGGTATTTAAAAGTATGGTCTCAAGGTGAACCTCTTTACCTAAAAATGTCTCAAGTTTATCCTTCTTTGTGGCAGAGTAGTATGATTACTTTTTAACTGACACGATTCCACAAATATATAAATTCCATAACACAAGAGATCAGTTCCTCTCTGTGAACAAAACTGTTCAAATATCTACGTACGTCATCTGGGTGTGCGAGGAGCTGGGGTTCATCACCAGTAAAGAAGTGCCAACCAGTCTAAATATTAAAATGAGACACGTTTTCTCGCAACACACACTCTCGCATTTGAAGTCTTAAAGTGTTTTTCCCTCTCAATCGGTTCTTTTTTTCATCATTTTTATATAAAACTATCTTTATGTCTTTTTCCTCTGCTTCCTTAAGGGAAAAATATGCTTAACAGATAAAATAATATTTGCTATCTATCACTGTGTTCCTTTGATTTTTAGTAACAAGACTGTGAATAAATCTGAGGAAACAGTCAACATACAGAATTAGAAATTGCATGGCGCAAGGTATAAAGAGTCCACCAACTTGTAGTCTGTCAAGTTTTATTTTGCCTTTTTCCAAAAATTAAGCATCTATTCCGCTGCAAACATCAATGGAAGCAAATACCTTCAACCTAAAGAAAAATACTTCCACAAATATGCATTTTAATTATGGAAGCAAGATCGGATAGAGAAGGGAACAGATATTATTTTCTTTATGAAAAGACTAATATTGAAATTTTAATAATGAAATTTGGTAAAAATGAATACCACAGTATAACTTCGATGATAACTGAAAATAAAAGGATTTTTCAACTAGAAATAATTAATGATGTAAGGCAGGTTGGTCCTCAAAATTAATGACCCACTGAACACAAACTAATCATTTAAGAGGTATTTTACCTGGCATATACTTGAAGCAAAAATTGAGATCAAACATAATACATTTACTAAGTAATAGAGATATGAACAGTTTTATTATTAATTAAAAATAGAGAAAACCCATAAATGTTAAGGCTGCTATTCAGTATTTTCTAAAATGAATATAGATATTTGAAAGTTTGTGTAGGCAAACAATTGAGATTCTATAACACAAACAAGATGAATCTGTTTCATATTTATCATGTAGAAAACCACGTCTGGTCTAGAATTAGCATAAAACATTCTCAGTTTAAAGAAAACAAGTTTACCTGGTAAATGTTTTGGAAAGCAAGAGAAAGGTATTATCAAAGACCAAGCAAAGAGCCAGGATACAAGAAATCCAATCCACCAAGCCCCCAGCCACCGAGGGTCATCCTTAGTGACATCAGTGCTACAAGAGAGAAAAGCAAAAGTAAAAGTCAGCTCCACCTTGCTCATTAAAACTCAGTTGTGAAAACTATCTAGTTTATAACTCAAGTGCATACAGCAGGACATTACTATAATATCAAAAATTTTAATGAAGGTTTTGTGTTGATTCAAAAAAAGCACAGATAACTAGGTTGTAAGAATAATGCTTTAGAAAGTATTTTAAACTGACAAATATGACAAAGTCTTAAATATTTAATAGTAAACATAAGTACGATGAGTACTTGAAAACACACATGGAATTCCTAAGCATTCTTGAACTTCACCTATTTTATTTTCTTCTCTGCGGTAGGTATTAAGCACATGTCAATAGCAAATTGCTGATCTATGCTAAAAGCCCATACACTTTGCTTCTATTATAGCATTTCACTACATGTAGAAGTGATTTATGAAAAGTTTTTATTATAATGGTTTTCATGTTTTAACATGAATAGGTCCTTTCCAAAACATGCCACACATACAGCTCATCTATTCCTCTAAATAAAGTTAAAATGTCATTTCTTAAAAACCTGACTCTCTGCCTCCAACACTACTTCCGCACACTTTTGAACAGTGTTTAAAATACTCATCTAGACTAACAGCTGAAAGCATAAATCTCATATCTAGGGGCACATTTTCTTATTGATTGCTCATGGTCACACCAAGGGTTATACAGTGGTAACCACCAACTCATTTTATGGTAAAATGAGAAAAGGTGCCTCACCGAAGCTCATTAAGGTCTACATTTTTAAAAGGAGAAGGTAGCTCAGTGGTTAAGGGGGATCTGGGAGTAAAACATTTTATTTCAAATCATGTGGTGAGCATTTACTAATGTGTAGGTATCAACTGCCTTATAGGACTGTTGGGAGGATTAAATAAAATAATGTGGTACAAGTTAACACAAAAATGTATGTTTCAGAGCCGGGCATGGTGGTGCATGCCTGTAATCTCAGCACTCGGGAGGCTGAGGCAGGAGGATCGTGAGTTCAAGACCAGCCTGGGCTACAAAGTGAGCTCACGGCCAGCCTGAACTGCATAGCAGACCCTGTCTCAAAAAAAACCATAAATAAATAAAATAAAAATTTTCAAACAGTGTGGGATAAATATTGTCTATTCTTATCATATTGTCACAGTATTAAAGTGACATAATTAGGATCATTATGGATCATTACGCCATTATCAGAGCTACCAGAGAATGTACTCTGAGAATCACAGCTTTTTGAGACACTTGAGGCTATCTATCTCTAACTAAATCTAATGAAAATATAACTGTTACTGAATTCTTTTTTAAATATATACACTTAATTTCACCAGATTATCTATTATACATTCTTATTTACGAATAAATAAAGAGAAACTGTAGTACTGATTCATGGAGCCTAAGTAATGTATCATTCAAAAATTGTGTATGTTCAAATTTTGTTTCCTGAGGCTGGGGATTTAGCTCAGCGGCACAGCACCTGCCTGGCAAGTGCGAAGTCTTGAGTTCGATTCCCGGTACCAGAAAAAAAAAAATTGTTTCCTAAAAAGTCCCTCTGAGTAAATAGGATGAAAACATTCTGTTCATGACATTTGCATTGTTTTAAAACATGAAATGAAATGAAAGAAATCGCCTTGCCTCTGTCCTACAGCGAAATCAATGTATATGTTTAACAGCTGTCCTCCCAATACATAGCCAATGGCAGGGCCAAAGAGTGACATAGAATAGCCAATTCCTAGAAGAAGAAAAAAGACATTGGAAATACCATATGTACTTCTCTTCCTATGTCTAACAATAGCAAAGAAAAATATTTTACATAGAAAAATCTTAATGACCAGATCTAAATCAAAATTACAAAGGTTTTCAATAAAAACAGTATTTGGATGGTATCACTAGTTGAGACGGTTAAGTCAAAGAAGTTAAAATGCATGACTCACTGTAAAAGCTGTTTGACTGTAATAATAATTACAAGAAACCCAATAATTACAAATGCATGGAAAGTTCTATTACTAAGTTCACCAGTGGGAGGGGTAGCGCCTCTACTATTAACCCGTTAGTGATAATGACAATTATTGTTTATAATCTTCTGGAAGAAAACAATGTGAAACAAGAAACGTTTTCCACTCTGCACCCAATTGAGAGCATTCTTTCCTTTGCACTATCACAGATTTCAAAACCTGGACGTGCTGACAAATCTGTTTCCTAAAAGTAAGCCATTTGTTCTTAGTGACTCTCCCGTCATTACTAACAACAGGATTAAGTTGAGTTTATGTCTGTCAAATGTTTAATTTTTTTCCCATGTATAATTTAGAATATTTACAAAATAAAATTTACTGTTTTACCATTTGTGAGAGTTTTTATTAACTGGTGAGACTTTTATTCTTATATATAAGAGAACAAGAAACTTAGTTTATACTCAAAACTAAGAACATAGAGTGGTAAAAAATCCTTATACACTAGGTAAGACTTCAACACAAAGCTCATCTGAAAACACCTAACAATCTTATCTTTCAACTACTTTATTTTACAGTTGTATTTTATAATGTAAAAAAAAATTAGTAGGAAAATTCACGTATATAATTTATAAATGATTAAGTGTGCACATATAAAGATCCATGCTCAGAATTTTTATCAATAAGAGTACACCATTAAAAATGCTGGAGCCAGGCTTGGTGGTGCGCACCTATAATCCCAGGACTTGGAAGGCTGAGGCGGGAGGATCACTGAGTTCGAGGCCAGCCTGGGCTATGAAGTGAGTTCCAGGTAGCCTGAACTGTATAGTGAAACCTTGTCTCAAAGAAACGCTAGAAATCAATCATTTATAATTTCTTTTAGCTGATGGACTTTTAAAAATAATTTCCAATTGGGTCACACTGATAAATTTGTACAGATACCAATTAACCTTTGTAAAACTACAAAACTGCTTTAGAAGTTTTCACATTAGGATTTTGGGAAGTTGGGAAGGGGATTTGGTGATGGATGATACAGGAAGGAGGGAAAGTAAAAAAGAATCAAGAAGCCGGGCGTGGTGGTGCACACCTATACTTCCAGCCCTCAGGAGGCTGAGGCAGGAGGACCCCTGCAAGTTCAAGGCAGCCTGGGCTACAAAGTGAGCTCAAGGCCAGCCTGAACTGCACAGCAAGACCCTGTCTCAAAAAGACAAAAGAAAAGAATCAAGATGCAATGTGTACATATATACCAATGAAAGTATGTATTACATATCATGAACATACATACTGACATTCAGTGACTGGGCAATAATTCTCTGTGATAATATATAATAACATGATATAGACTATGATAATAAAGTCATAAAGAGAAAACTTAATAATTAAATGTAGGGCCTTGCACAGTTTATTTAGCTCCAGGCTTCTAGAAAGATTTTATAAGAAACTTATACTATAAAACAAGCAAAAATGAGCCATACAGTGCAAACATATTGATGTTACGTGGAAAACTCCACAGCATTGCTAGACATCTTCTTGTGCCTTTCCTTGTGGACTCTCGTGACGTCCTCACAGGACCCAGCAAGTCACAGTCTCCACACCTGTGCACATCTCCCTGAGATTCAAGCAATCAAGACACAGGCTGCTTGGACGACTCTTGCCATCCACTAAGATCAGCGTGCCCCGAGCAGGACACCAGCAGAAGCCACTGCGCATTCTATTCACTGATTCCATACGGCCGTGAGTAATTAAACACATAAAAGTCATGCTGCAGGTACCTAACGGAAATGCCTATGACATGCAAGAAACTTTGTAATAAGCCGACGTTATGCTTTACTATAAAGTAAACGAACAAGAAGACAAAATGATACCGAGCCTGTTACAATAAAGAGTACACTCACCTATGTAGAGGGAGGATTTGTGCGTGGGCACAGACTCATCGATGAAGGCCGTGCCCAGGGTGTAGAGAGGGGTGCCCCCAACCCCCAGCAGCAGCTGGCCCAGGATGAAGACGTACAGGTAGTTAGAAAGCAAAGATCCCGAAGAGGTACAGCTGGTGCTGTTTCTTGCTGAACAAGTATCTTTAGTGGGAAAACAAAAAGGTAATTTGTAGAAATTTAGCCATTGTTTAAGTATTTTTTCCAATCACTTCATTTTACTCTGTTTTATTTTGGGGAGGGGGTTGTACCGGGAATTGAACTCAGGACCTTGCACTTGCCAGGTAAGTGCTTATACCACTGAGCTATATCCCGGCCCCACTTCATTTTGATATTTAAACTATTTAGAGTACTATAGAAAACATGTAAAAATGTTACATGCCAAAATTTAGAAAATATACAGCAAAACTAAGAAGCATTAAAGCATCAAAATTAACAAACTTTAAGTAAACCAATCTAAACACAGTCAAAGCAACTGGTGCCAAGGAATTATAGAAAGAAAATAGTAATCTTTATTTTTTTCCAAGTCATAAGTTCAAAATAACCAACATAATTTATCAACAAATACCTTAAATTTGAAGAACATACTTATGGATATTTTGACAAAATGGAAACCTCAATATTTACTGTGAAGCAGGAAAATTGAAGTTGCATCTAGTTCTTTTTTGTAGTCCACACTATTTTATTAACTTTCTTTGAAAAAAATTTATTTTGTGAAAAAATATTTAGGGTTATAGGGTATTGTTAAGAATATTGTCAAAAGAAAAAATATCTCTAAAATGTGATCGAATGCCGGATGTGGTGGTGCACGCCTGTAATCCCAGCACTTGGAGGCTGAGGCAGGAGCATCATTGTGAGTTCGAGACCAGCCTGGGCTACAAAGTGAGCTCAAGGCCAGTCTGAACTGAAGAGTGAGACCCTGTCTCAAAAAGACCAAAAAAAATTTAAAAAAAAAAGGAAAAAAAGAAGATGTGATTAAAACCTTTTTTAAAAGCGACATTAAGAGTAAAGACAGAATATCATGCTAAATCCATATTTCTTAAATTCATTTGATATTAATGTAATGAGATACCTGTTAAAAAACAATATTCCCAGAACTTTCCCTGAATCTGATGTAAACACTCAAGGATCTGCATTTAACAATCCCAGCTAAGTTTACTTTCATTTCATTTATATGGGATCAAGATTTATTACTTTTTGAGGAATGACTGCAGCCCCCAAGCATCAGTCCTGAGATTTTCTAACTGGTATGAAGAAACCAAGTTCACAGTCATCAAAGTAGCAGATACAAATCTGTGCATAAAATATGCATTTTTACATTTAAATATGCCTTCTGAGGTTATATATTCATATTATAATGTGTTGGTGTATATCTTGACAGATAATTTGTATCTATAATTGGGGCAAATCTACTTTATTCATATCAATTCCCTGGCCACATCAAGATTACAATTTGAATTGTAATTCCTGGTTTTAATATTCACTTTCTTCAGATAATACATTAGACTAACGATTTCTTACTAAACACAGTGATATCAAGTACACCTACAAGCATTTCTTGTTTTACTAATTTTTCTTATTTCTCTTTTATAGTAAGTATACCTTTATAAGTAGCAAACACGTATGTTTTGTGGTAATATGGTATTTGGTTTGATTATATGAGTACCCTTTAGAGTTTTGGTGTTTTTCTTTTTTGGGGGTGGGGGTTTGAGACAGGGTCTCACTATGCAGTTCAGGCTGGTCTTGAGCTCACTTTGCAGCCCAGGCTGGCCTCAAACTCGTGGCAATCATCCTGCCTCAGCCTCCTGAATACTGGGATTACAGGTATGCATCACCACGCCGTGAAGCCTCAGCCTTCTGAATACCTGGGATTATCCACTTGTTCACCCCCAGGAACTGACATCTTTCCCACTGCACTTAAAGCTCAATTAAAATGTCACTGTTGGCAGTGTAACAGTATTCTGCAGCACAAATTTCCCATCATGTTTTCACCATATATATTTAATAATCATGTAATAAATATTATCATATATATTTAAATCATTTTAGTTCTTCTGTTACAATTTTGTGGCATATATTTCCCTCTTTTACTTTTTAAATTTTTCAGCACTGAGAACTGAAGGCAGGACCTACCCACGCAAGGCTTGTGCTCTAGCCCTGAGCCATACCCACGATGCTTTCCTACAATTTCTTCTTCTGTTTTTGTTTTTTTTTTTTTTTTTTTTTGAGACAGGGTCTCGCTATGCAGTTCAGGCTGGCCTTCAGCTCACTTTGTAGCCCAGGCTGGCCTTGAACTTGCAGCGATCCTCCTGCTTCAGCCCCGAGTGCTGGGATTACAGGCGTGAGCCACCATACCCGGCTACAATTTCATCTTGAAACAGGATCTCACTGGTTTGTCAAACTGACCTCAAACTTCTGTATCCTCCTGCCTCAGACTCCGAAGTAGCTGGGTTACAACCTTGTAGCGTACCACTGTACCCAGCACCTACAGTTCTTAAATCTCCCTTGACACAGTTGTGCAAGCCTATCTGTAGGACAGGTTTCAAAAGACAGAACTGCTAGGTTAACGTTTTGACATTGCCAATCTTCTCTAGAAAGAATTATACAAATATGAAATCCAATCAACAGTGTAGTAACACTTTACACACTAAAATTTAAATCATTACCAATCACATTGTTTAAAAAACATATTTTTTAATTTTTAAAAACTCATTAAAGACATTAAGCAATTTTATACATTATCATCTGTATTTTTTCTGTGAACTAACTTTTCAAATTTACTTGATATGTTGAGTTTAATACATGATTTATAGACGTTTGCTCCACTCCACAGGTACATAAAATTAACAGTGGTTAATTAACAGGCTACACCATGCCGTTTTTGTTTTTAACTCGAGTGCCTTTCGGTGGAGACCCAGAATTCTGTAGGATTAATCCAAACGCATTTTTGTCTCACTTTCCTGTGCATGGGATTATGTCTAGATACTTGGTCTCATGTCACTGATTTTCACAATCACTCTCCATCACAACTTTTTGTAATTACTTTGGGTTACTAGACTTTGGCGACATCAATATCTCAGCTGGCTGTAAAGTGTTTCACAGCCCAGCACGGAAGGCTCGGTGTTAGTTAGCAGGGCCACTTAGGAAATGTAACACAAACACCTCACAAAACGCTGGCTAAGAAGTAATTCACCTCATTCAAAGGCGAATAGCAACTGAAACAGAAAACCAAGTGGCACAGCAGAACAATCAAGAGATAGCACCATAACACAAATTTACAAAATTATCACCTTATAAAAACGTTTTTAGAAAAATCAAGCAATGTAAAGTTGAAAGCTCAAAATAAGGGCTCATGGAAACACAAGGGCTGAAATAAATTAGGAAAGACATATAATAAAAGAACAAAACTATCAAAATGAAAGTCATATTAAAAAGAGCAACAGAGAATAAAGACAGAATTACAAGGAGAGCTAGGCATGATAGTGCACAGCTGTAATCTCAGCACTTCGGGAGGCTGAGGCAGGAGTCCAAGGCCAACCTGGGCTCCACAGCAAGACATTGTCTCAAAAACAAACAAAAAAAAAATTACAAGGACAGATAAAATAGAGTTGAAAACTATGAACAAAGTTGTAAAAAGTAATTAAGATTTAGTAGACTAGACAGAATGTAACACTGGATTCAGACAAAAGAAATCAAATTCATAATCGTGTATAATAGGAAAGAAATCTATACCCCAAGGTACAATTAAGAAACTTTGCTTCAAACAAATGACACATTCATAATCTAAAGGGACAAAGAGCATCTGAGAAAAATTTGATGCAAGACTTCTAACATCAAGAAATTCCCTTGTAGCCAGGCATGGTGGTGCATGCCTGTAAACCCAGCACTCAGGAAGCTGAGGTAGGAGGATCACCAAGAGTCCAAGGCCAGCCTGTATTACCTAAATGGAGTTCAGGGCCAGTCTGGACTACATAGTGAGACCCTGTCACAAAAAAATTCCCTTTTAAAATTATTGTACTTTAAAGCTGAAGGAATGCTATTTTGAACAGGCAAACAAAAAAATTCACTTATACAAAGGGAGATTAAAAATAATCCTTCAGAGCATACAGTTCTGCCTGCCAACAAAATATTTCATTCAGAGATGCCAGACCCAAAGAAGAAAATCCAAAATGAATTTATAAAACTTTATTGTTATAATATTTTATTAAGTAACTAGATCCACCCCTTATGTGAATTCTGCTGTATTATTAGTTTAGGCAACTATTTGAACGTACTTCTACTAGGAAATTTATGCCTGACAAAATGCTTTTGACATTATTTAAAAAAGAGAGGATGGACAAAAGGTATCATAGTACAGTTAGACAAGAAAAACAAGTTCTCATGTCGTGTAGCACAGCAGGGAGATTATATGTAACAACAATTTATCATCTATTTTGTAAAGAACTAGAAGAGAGGCATTCGAAGGTCCCAAACATAAAGGATGCACACGAGTGCTTGGGAATGTAAGGACCTGGCTTGGTCATTAGGCACTGTATACCTTCACTGGAGCATCATTAGTCATGTACACATGTACGTCAACTGTGCAAATATTACCTGCAGTTATCAACGGGAGAAAAGGCACGTGGTTTAACAATGTTCCACAAGAGGGAGCCCCTCTGCCGTTTATGAATTTAGAGGAGCATTTCCATTAAAATGAAGGGTTATGATTTCACTTAACAAACGGTGGCCACACTTGCCTCCTAATGTCTGCAGCGCCTTCAGCAAAAGGACAAAAGGAAGTCCACAGACCCAGGCAGAATACTTACAAGTTAACTATCAAGGTCAGCCTGACCTTTGATCCACAGCCCAAGGTATACGACCAGAAGACCTGAGGCTACAGACACTGTTCCCTGACCCACCTGCCCCCAAGCCTGGGAAGGGAGCGGGGAGTCGGGTCTCCCAGCCGGGCTTTTGTCAGGAGAATTTCCCACTTGTGGAGGGCACCTGAAGCTCCTGGGGTGGGATTTAAGAAGCAGTTTTCCCGGAACCCATTCTCCTTTATTACGGGTGTCAGGCACTTTAAGGCTCCTGACTTTAAACAAAAGCAGACCCACTTTCCCCAGCCCAGAGACCTTGGGGCCCCTCTCCCCTCCCCACACCTATGC